TGATTAATAGTCAGCTTATCCACTGGAACTGTACCCGTCTTTCCTACTGTTTCAGTTGTCTAAATAAAACTAAGTCATATTTCCCCCACAAACTAACTGTTTTAATAATAAGACAGAGTGCTGTTTATCTAAATAAAAACACAGCTGTGAGTGCAAACAAAATGTATATCTGGTAAACCCAGTGCACAAAATAATCACATCTGCGCTGATGTTCAGTATGACATGACGCCCTCAAGTGTGATACGCCTTTTATTCAAGAGTTCTAATTGCTGAAAATAGTAGTAAAATGTAATAAGGAGGTACAAATTATTGCTTTATTTTAAGTTCATAGCTTGATCCAAAGTCAACTGGACTTGGTTGAAGAGTTGCCTTTGGACTAACTTTGAATTTACAATGGCCTGGATAACTGAGAACCTACACAGATACATTATTTTTAATCAATCATTCAAGTTCCCCAATTTCACTGAACATGGACAGTCCCACAGCAGCACATAAAAAAAAATGTCGTCCACACTGCTACTACTTTGTGTATGTCTTAATGACGGGGGACGGACGAGGGGATTCCCCCTTATTACCGTCTGCAGGTGTAGTAACAGAGGCGTTACAGGGGCAAGACGGGATCAGCTGATCCAGCAGGGGAAAATACGCATGTGTGTCTGTATGTATAGCTCCCTCTGTGCTGTGTTCTCTCGTGCTTCCGCAATGCCGCAAGGCAACATGAATACACAGACCAATATTACAAATGTATCAGACACAATATGAATGTCTTCAGGCGTGATGACGGCAGAGCTGTAGAAGAAATGCAGTCTGAAAAGGGTTACTATTCAAAGAGTGGTAGCTACAGTATTTGGTTTAAGTCCTAATGCTGTTAAACTCTATGTTTCTGCTCACTGAATGTCTTATTATTTGCATACTTGTGGATAGAGAAATCTTTTTATTTTTTATTTATAAACAAAATGTGCTGAATAAAATTAAAGCAAATCAAATCTCTAGCTATAAAACGTTCACTGATTTCAAAGCCCACCATAACAAAACTCTCTCAGTTGAATCTTAATACATTGTCAGTAGAAAGGATGGACTTTTTTTTAAGAATTTAAAAAATCATTTAATCTGTCTTTCACATGTTGAATCACATAATATCTACTTCCCTCTCTCTTGTGTTGGTCTTCTTGTAATAATAACCACAGACTGTTAATATTGGTAATAACCCGCTCAGGTGTGTCTCTATGGTTACGGTGATGGTGGAAGCTGACAGCATGTGCGGCCCCCCCCCGTGGGAGACAACTCCGCGGGAAAGTGTGACACCGGGAATCCCGTGGGGTTGCCACAGACTCAGTTTGAGACTTAACATTAATCCGGGGGACCTTTTTTTTTTTTTTTTTTGGAGGTCACCTGGCATCTTCTCAGGTAAATAACTGGTTAGGGGGTGGCTAATGGCTGCGCTCGCTCTGTTGCCCCCCCCCGTTACCAAGTGACGTTATTAAATGTGCTCGAGACCAGGAGCCTCGGAGGTGACATGTGAGCTAACTTACTGGTTTCCATTAGGCAGAATGACAAACCAGTGTCCATCCTGCTGCTGGAGTCCCCACACTCACATGTGCTTAACATAACTTAGCTAACCTTGAAACTTTACACGGCTACCTCTGTCCAGCCACGTCACTTTGACCAGGTAATACAATCACCCCCACACATCGCAGGTAACACGTTTAACGAGCTCTGGAGCTAACTTGACCATCTCTTAACTTCTGAAAAGATGGCCTTACGCTAACTGCAGGGTAGCGAAGTCAGTTCCCTTGCTAGGGTTTTTTTTTTTTTTTTAGTTAGCTTCTTCTACAGCCAAAGTTAGCACTGACAGAAGCTGCAGAAAGCTGTGCAAGCCTGTCACACACAGAAACCTTGAGTCCTTATTGAGTGACAACATCGGTGAAGGTAGCCTCCGTGAACCCCTTAGCGTCAAGAAAACAGGCTACCACTTACCCTCTGTCACTTCCAGCACTTTGATCTGCTCCTCCGCGGCGGTGCGTACTTCTTGAGCCGGGGACAGGATCGCCGTGAGAGTCTCGATCAGAGCTTCTTTGAGTCCCTGCTGAACCGGACCGGCGGCCGAACCGGACCGGGAACTACCCGCTGCACTCATCCCCTGATTTTGTATGCACCGCTGCAACGCTACAGAGAGTCAATCCACCGCCACCGCCAAACCGGGGAGGAGCAGAGAGAGAGAGCCACAGAGAGCCACAGAGAGGCGAAGCGCGCCAATGCATGGAAACGTGGAGGCGGGGTTTTCAAGGGAGGAAGTACATTTTGTCGTCCGGTTCTTCGGCCCACGTGTTTTTTTTTTTTCTCCATGTTTTTTTTTTGTTTGCAATCACTGGCTCCCTCTTGTGGAGCGGGGGAAAATGAGGCCTTCAAATACCATCACAAGTTTTACTCTATGGTTTTACCCAGTCCTTGTTTCCCCAGCAAAGATACCCACGACTTCTGGAAAACAGATGCTAAAAGCTTCCCTCCTGTCCATTGACGTCCACTTAGATCCAAAGACCATGAAGAGTAGTTCAATGGATCTGCTCACCAGTGACATTAACACCCGTTTTGCACAGGTCTACAGATGTTACACCTATGCAATTGAATAATTTCATGAAATTGCCTGCCTCAGAGTATTGTTGACAATTAAGAATGAGTTGGTAACACAACCAGAACCAAACAACAACGTATAACATGTCAGTAATATGATGCAGTGGTAATTATATTTCAAAATAACTAATCGTATTGCAGATATGATTAAATAATTAAGGCCATCACTGCTGTATGACATACCTAAGAGACAGTATAAATTGAACAAGAGGAGATTAAATTGCCACCCTCTAAGAGACAAACTATTTAAAAAAAATTTTTTCATCTTAAATTGAAAACTTTGAATAAATATTTTAGAAATTGAGTAGCATTATACTAAAAGGACATTTTACCACTTACAGTTTCCCTAATGCAACCATTGTAATTTAATCAGCTTTCAAATCTCTGTAAGCAATGCCATTAGTGCAAACTGTAAAGCCAAAATTTAGCATAACTTCGTTTGATATTTAAATGTTTAAATTGACATGAAACAGTGGAACCAATTTTTAAAGCCTGCGTTATTCAGTCCTGGTTTACTGATATTTTCTACTCATTTATTCCTTCACAAAATAATCTCAGCAGATTAATTTCTTGCCCAAGGGTTCTAGTCAGCTGCAGCGGACTATTAAACCTCAGAGCATCATCCGTTCACAGGTGTAGTCTCATCTGAGCTTTAACATAGGCTTGGATTTGAGTCAGACTCAATTCTCCATTCTTTACAAGACAAGAGCAACATTAAACCACTGTGAGGTGAAACAATGGAGCCATTATTAGTGAGGCGTGACTGCCAGTCTGCTGACACCATAACTGTTGGGTTTTGTCACTGACACAGGAAGAACCAGCTTCAACTCGTAATCCTGTTGCTCCAACAACAAAAAAGTAATTTGACACAATATCAGCATTTGCAACTTTGTCTCCTTTTTGAACTCCATAATTCCAAGTTGAAGATTCCTGATTCTTATTTTGTGTGCTGCAAATACATTCATATTACATTTCTGACATTTCTAAATCTTCTTATGATGAACTTCATTCTTCTCAGGTGATAAACATCTTTGTTCAGGAGTCCAGCAGCCAATCATAAGACGACCATGGCATGATTGGATGGCTTATGAAAAACATTTTTAACACACCTATATAAGTAGAGCTTAAACTGGCTGCAATTAGACCTTTTGTTTCCTGGATGTGTTATGTGTTTAAAACTGGTGCCAAATGAGAAAAACGTATTTTAGATCAATCTAGATTTAAAGAAGTATGACCGGTTTATGTTCATGGGTGTCTCTCAGGGTTATTTTTACTCAGTGCTACGTGGTAACTGTCATCATTGTATGTACCAACTAATAATCATCTAAATAAGGAGTGTCCTGTTTGAGCTTAAATTAAATCAGTAATTGCTTTGGCATTTAGGATAGTTCAGGTGAGGAGGTGTCGACATCAAAATAAACAATGAATATATCCTCACTGCTGTAGACCCGAGAGATTAAGACAGAGTAGTAAACCTTTTTTAACCTCAATTTTGCAATTATATGTTACAGAGAGTCCCTTTTGTGTTTTGGGATGAAATGCGCTGAATGTCAAGCTGGTCTGAAACCACTTGTATACTCTGTAACCTGCAATACCTTGGTTTGTCTGCCAGACTTAAGGAAATACCCATTGACAAAATTATAAGACAAAATCATTTCAAACCTGGTGACAGTGTTATAGCAAGGTTATGGTGGAGCCCGTATTCTGTCTTTGGCAAAGTCATCATAATCAAAGTTGTCTCTGAAAGGAGCGCAGGATCAGCAGAATTCAATATAAAAAATGAACATATTTAAGGAGATGCTTCTTGGTCCAAGAAAATAAAATCCATGTGTTGCTGGGTGCAAATTTGGCAAAAGTTTAGAGTAAAACAACACATCAGGACTGTTAGCCTCATGATGGTCAGAAAACACTGATCTCAAACAGTTGTCAGGTGATGGGAAACCACAGCTAAAAATACTGCCTTATAACAGGTCAGTAATTAATCATTTTTTGTATTAAATATTATAGTTGGATTTGATAATGTAATTTTAGAGGCTGTAGTTTTTAGTGCCTTGAACAACTTCCCCAACTGAATCCAAAGGCTACAAATATACATATTTTTTTAACCTTATTTTATGCATCTGTGCAGCTATGCAGCTTTATTGGTGTAACATGTTTTAAATTAATCTTAATTTGTAAACCCTTCTTTTCCAATGTTGCCTTTGACTTTGTTTGAACCTGTGAGCAAAATAACTCCCATCACAGCATGTTATAACCTCCATAAAAGGATTATTGAATAATATGTGTACCTCATAAACTGAGTGCGTAATGTGGACCTCAGATGAGCGGCGCTTGTGTACTCAGCCTAAGAATGAACCAAACACTTGTACAACTGTTTCTTCTTCTTTAAGCAAAAAGAATTTGGTTTATGTAGAAACAAGCAATGTTTTGCAACTGGATATTCCCCTCTCCTTCAAAAGAGTTAAAGCTAAAAATAAAAAATAAAGAAATGTATACCCATCCCATTGCTCCCAGAATCGCCACCTTCCTGTAATGGATGCAGATGTTACTGACAGAAAGCAAAGGAAACCTGGGGGACAGCTCACATAGGGACATAGATATAAGTGTACAGTACATATATATATAAAATATAAAATCTGAAATATATTTTATATATATTAAATCGTGTTAGGGTTCAGTATCTTTCACTACACATCATCAGGTGGTGTGTCTGATCATCTTTTTTTCTTCATTTTTTTTCAAATCCTATTATATAAACCAGAGGAGAGTTAAAGCAAAACAACGAACAAACAAATGTGGGGAGGGGGGAAAGGAAACTAAGCAACAGACGAAAGGCCTCCGCCCCCAATCCGATGCCCCTCCCGCCAGCCTCCAGTCGGGATGGGAGTGGGCGAGCTAGCACGGACAAGGTGGGACAGACCCGTCCAGCTGTACAGCGCAGTGAAACATAACTTACATATTAGCTCATTTTTTACACGTACAGTCGTGATCAAGGCACAGGGATCTTCTACAAGTAATTTTTTTTTCTTCAATAAAGTTGTACAAAATAATACATTTTACAGTCTGTACAAGAATAATAGTCCAGCAGTAAAATAAAGACAGACGTACTTAAAGCCGGGAGGAGGGCAGGAACGTGGGACTGGGAGAGGTGAGAGAATAAGACCAAAGATATGGATGGGTAGGACGTTGGGGACTGATGAGGGCTTGAGCGTGTGTGTGTGTGTGTGTGTGTGTGTGTGTGTGTGTGTACCAAGGTAAAAGTGTTGCCTCCAGTCTCAATAAAGTAAATTTCTTCCACTTCATGATTTCCTTTTGTTTAGTTATTTCTCCTCATTAAATAAAACCTCTACTTTATTCTCCATATGATGAATAGTTTTCAAATAGCAGCAGGGGCATGGGGAGGGGTGGGGCAAAGATTTATGCATGTGTGTATATATGTGTTTTTGTGTGTGTGTGTGTGTGTGTGTGTGTGTGTGTGTGTGTGTGTGTGTGTGTGTGTGTAGGTAGCAGAGTTTAAATGGTGCACAAAGGCAGATCACACACACAGTGTACACCAACACACAACATGGGGTAAAAGCTAACAAAAACTTAAAAGTTGAACTGTGTTATTACAGGAATATATAATATTTATATATATATACATATTTATATACACACATATATAAATATCTATATATATAGCTTGGATTTTTTGCACTGCATGAAGTTCACTGGTATGCATGAATTTATGCATTGTATGATATTTTTCTTGTTGTTTTTTTCCTTGTTTTTTTTTTTTTTGTTGGTTTCTGCCATTCAAGAGCAGGTCATGTGTCGTAAAGTTCAAGTCACGCTCATGTCCACAGGCAGCCGTTAGTCAATTAGTTTGTGTGTTCGGGAACAAAAAGGCTCACAGCCCTCCTCTGCATCAGTTTGCTGCCCTCCGTGTCCATCGTTCTTTTCTTCTTCTGCTCCTCCTTCAGCTTCAGCACGCTGTCAATGAACTCCTCTCTCTCTCAGAAAGCATTCTTTAAGTCAACTTCTGCCATCTGTCTAAAGCAGAACTTGACTTTCAAAAGGGTCTGTCAGTGTGTGTGTGTGTGTGTGTGTGTGTGTGTGTGTGTGTGTGTGTGTGTGTGTGTGTGGCTTGATATGAGACATTAAAACCTATGAAGGGGTTCTGAATGTCTTATTCTGTAGTGTGTGTGTACCTGCGAGTGAGTGGGTGTGTGTGTGTGTAATAAATCTGAGAGAGAAACATCGCTTAAAGGAGGGAAAGCCTGCACAGAGGGATTCCAGTCCTGACCCTCTTTTGGTGGGTCGAAGTGTAGCCGAGTACAGCAGTTAGTCCAGGCTTAAAGTTGATGATGTTGTATTCTTAAGTGTTTCCTTTAAAAAAAAAAAAAAAAGAAAGAAAGAAAGAGAGTTGTCCTTCTGTTCTGTCTCTTTAAAGTTGAGTTGAAGGACAAGTTTTATTGTGTGGGAGGAGAGGGCAGGCCGTCTGTCAGTCACTCGCTCGATTGTTTGGTGGTTGGGGTTGAAGTGGAAGGGTAGATTGGCTAACTGGTAGTGGGGTCGTAGATAGGTAGGTAGATAAGTAGGCTGGACGCCACTGTCCATCACAAGAGCTCATACTGCCGTAGGTGCATCCTCTGTATGATGTCCCGACAGTCATTGAAGACGCGGCGGATGTTTTCTGTATCGACTGCGCAGGTGAAGTGGGGATAACAGTAATGTCGCCCGTCCCCACTGGCTGTGCTGATCCTCTGGAAAAAGACACGGGAACACAGACAAGTTGGTGTTCAGAGGCTTAATACTAGAACTGATATTCATGTCTATTCTTGAATCCAACACGTGGAAAACCAAACAGGTGGAAACCATGAGCTTTTTACGTACCAGGAACTCATCTCTGATGAAATACTTGGCCCTTGTGACACGTGGATCCTCGCCTGCCTCCGGTATTGCTGTTGGTGATGAAAACAATAAAGTCATTTCTGCTCTGTAAGACCAAATAGCAGCATTAATACTCCTGCTGACCAGGTGATGTCAGGAATATTGTGTCTCATAGACAAACTATATATTCTCTATATTATAACCACAATATGTGCCACTTCATTATTACTAATGTCTGCTCGCTGATGTTGTGTCTTTGATCAATTTAAGGCCCATGGATGTCAACTTTTGTTGCTTTGGCCTTAGTGTAAGCTATTTATAACATTACTCCATTCACCAACGTAAAGACTTAAACACAGCAACATCACGATATCTGGCTCGATAGCCGGCTCTAGCAGGTTGTCGTCTTTAAACTGACTTCTTTAAGCTCAAACTATAGATGCGTGTTTGGATCGGGATATCAGTGTGGAGATCTTACCATCATCAGGTGTAGTGTAGCGAGCAAACTCCGGGAAGTACTCCTCGATTTTGGATTTTCCTGCCAAAACCTTCTCAGCAAGCAAGTCCTGTTTGTTCAAGAAGAGGATTACAGAAATGGTCCGTAGCCATCTGAGGAGAAAGATTAAGAAAAAGTTCAGGTCATGAATTTCTGGGACTTTCTTTTAGGACCCCACATTTATTGTCATGTTAGAGATTAACTGTGTGAAAGTGTCTGATGCACAGGGTGTAGACTTTGACTTTAAACCAGCTTTTTTCCGTCTATTTCTGACAGAGTTCTCATCTTCTGCTCTATGTATCTTTATAAAACTCAGGGAAATAATTAGCAGGTTTTAAAAAGGATATGAATTGTTCAATAAGGAAGGCGTTATGCCTTATTTCCTCCCATGATGAAGCTCTGTTAACTGGTTTGTGTTATTTTCCAGGATAGCAGTGCAAAGACAGCTGATTGTGTTTTGATACATTTTTGTGCTGTACTAATTCTTTCAAGCCTTTTGCACTTCCTAAATGTCTTTCATATCTTCCTCTCAAATCGCTTATAAAACAAAGACCGGTGTTTTGAAAACAAACGTGCTCCTACTTTCATGTTTGCCTATTAAATCCAGAAGTTGTCGCTGACCTGTTGTTCCAGATGTTCTTGAAAAGGTTGAGTGCTTCCTGTAGTCTGTTGGTCTGATTGTCTTCTCTGATCACCATGTTGTAGCTGCTACTCGCCACCACAAAGATGATGGCTGTCACATCTGTGTCACACACACACACACACACACACACACAAACACACACAAACACACACAAACACACACAAACACACACAAACACACACAAACCCACACAAACACACACATCAGAGGATTCACACACCAAAGGTGGATAAAAACCACAAATGCTCATGCAACCTTTTTTCACCAGGGAGATTTAGAGAAACACAAACTGGAGACAAGCATCTGATTAGACTAGAAAGAGAATTCACTCCTTCAAATGAATCAGTCCCAGAAACACGCTTCTTACCGTTAAAACACTGGATCCATTTCCGACGTTCATCCCTCTGACCTCCAACATCAAACATACTGTGAGACAGAAGAAAAATTTTAATGTTTCAAGTTTTAATGCAAGAGGGATTTAACACTTTAAAATCATGGACAAGTACAAGTTTAATATGCAACATTCAGAGTTTACACATATTTTATTTATGATTTAATATTGTTCATATTTGAAGTTAAAACACATGACGTTAGTAATTTGTAATCCAGAGAATTTAAACTACTTCTTGTCCTTTAGAAGTATTTGATTGTTTTATTTTTCTAGATGTCGGGAATATGACAGGACACCTCGATTATCATACTCACTGGAAATTGACTTTGTCTATTTGAAATCTTGTTTCAAAGATCCCAGACGTCAGTACTCTGCATCTCAACAGGTCCTGAAAAGAAAAGGAACAACAGGATAAAAGGTTGTTAAAGATAACATATAGAAAGGGGAGGGAATTTACAAGACGTACAAGATGTGAAAGAGACGTGGAGATTATTGACATGAGAGGAGGATAAACATGGATGAATTCAACTCATGGACTTTTGGAAGTAAAAAAACAGGATGGACACTTTTGATGTTGAGGATATTATAAAACAATTCCCCTTATAGATAGTTCATCTATTAATAAAGCATACAGGCATTCAACTTCCTGTTGATTCTGGTCATTGTTAAAGAATGAGAGAAGAATGCTGCTTCACGTTGAGTATTACAGTGGATCACTCATCAAATAATGAATAACCTGTCAATAACTGGTTTAGATGAATGGTTTACTGTTTCATAAATAAAATTTCAGGAAACTTTGCCCGAGTTTTGTGCAACACAAAGTCCAGAATTTAAGATCTATGCAATGAAAGGCAACAAAAAAAAATTGCTTTCTTTTTTTTTTCCTCTGCAATTTTATCTAAGGTTTACACTCGACATGGAAATTCTATGAACTCTTTCGTGACTACAAATACTCCCAAGAACAAAACAAGGCATGGCACAGACGATACTTGTTTTCTTACAGTTCCATTATGCAAAGTGACACTTGTTCTAGATGCAAACATTAACTTGATATATTCTTCTTATGGTGGGAATAAACAGAGTTGCTAATAACGTTAACAATGACTCCATTCTGTTCGAGTATCAACTGTGACTGTAGCACTATTCAGACGTTTCAAACCACCATGTTTAAGCCCCTGTGATGTTTCTCCTTTAATCTGAATGTCGACGAGGCGTAATAAGGGGACAGAGTGAACCCCTTCTCTGTACCGTCTTCAGAGGTAGTAACAGAGGCGTTACAGAGGCGAGACGGTCTCAGTGAAGCCAGCGGGGAAGTGCAGCGCTGTGGTGCAGTGCTCCAGCTGTGCCGTGCTTCAGCAACGCCCAATACGCAATGTGAATTCACAGACTGGGACACCAGTATTACGCTGTTGTGAAATCAATATGACTGTACAAAGACATGATGACGGCTGAGCTTAGTTACGGCCTGAAAATGGCTAGTGAGGCAGTGTGCACAACACTATGAGTTGTAGTTTTTACACTGCATGCTGAGATGTGCTATAAAGGCATTTGTTTAGCAAATTTCTTTAAAAATGTAAATTATTATTAATCGATTAAAGAAATGTTGACTTTTTCCAGATTTTGTTCATCAACCTAAAAATGTTTGCAAGCCCTGATGTAGACCTCACCGGTCGAAACATGTTGGCTTTAAACGAGTTACTATGATAAAGGCCTTTTGAGCATTTGCTTCCTCATTGTTACATTTCTCATTCGTGGAGTGCCTGGTTTCCCACAGTTTTGTGTCAAATTTCCCGTTTTCCAGGAGCACTCATCAGCCTTTTATATCATTTCATTTTCATTTCAGCACCCCCCTTTTCTCTACGACAATTAACGTGCCGTGCTCATTGTGTGGTTTCATTTGACAAAACAAGTGTTTGAGTGTTAGAAGTCTCACCTGATCAGTGGGTGTGTAGTCATTCTGCCGGACCACGTCGATCCTGTCTAAGAAACTGCAACAAGAAAACAAGAATACATCTGATTAGAGCTAAATCAGGACAAAATCAAACTAAAGAGAGACAATAACAGAGTAATACATGTCAGTAATTCCAGTGGCTACTCAGTCAACAACCAAAATAATGCAACTTTACAACTTTGTAACATTTTAAAATCCAAGCTAACACACTATACTGATAAAATAATAAGAGCTGTATGAGCTCACAACCCACACACACACACACACACACACCCAAGGAACATCCCGGTACATTATGGGAGCATGAGAAAGATGGAGGATACTGCTCCCTTGTCAGCCACCAGGGGGCGTGTGTTTTAAATCACAGAGAGATCAGAGGCAGCCGGTCTGAGTCACCAGCAGCCGTTTGCTCTGTCAGACCGGAGGAGCCTCGTCAATGGAGCTGCTGTAGTAATCCCGTGCACGGGAGTGTGTGTGAGTGTGTGTGCACATCTGTGCGCAGTGGCAGTGTGTGTGCGTGGGTGGGTATACAGGCCTGCAGTGAGTTCAGATTTGCAAGGCGCCGGCCTGAATGCATGTTAATTGTTCCGGAGAAGTGGCCTACATTGTTGCTGCTTTTTTTAAGGTGTGAGCCGCACTGATGTTTTCATGATAACTGTTCGAGGGCGACCTGACTTTTGTTACAAACAGTACACGTATGGCTTTCTGTCAACATCCCAAAAAATACTAAATCCCTCATGTACCTAAGGATGAAGAAATGTTGTTGAATTAAAGAAAAAACAAAACTCAAACATCCCTCCTTTTGTGAACAAATAACCAGAGCAAAGACTCCGACAAGCACAGAGAGCAACAACTGGGTTTAAAACCTCCCGACCTGACAGCCCTCTCACATGTAAAGAATATTTTTATACATAAGAAGAAGAGCAGGAGCTGCTCCGCTCTGACGATGGAATGGGGCTGAACCTAATGCTTTAATAATCTCTGACTGGGAGTAATTAAGTGACCTAGTAGCCCGCATTGATCTCACACACACACACACACACACACACACACACACACACACACACACACACACACACACACACACACACACACACACACACACACACACACACACACACACACACACACACACACACACACACACACACACACACACACACACACACACACACACACACACACACACACACACACACACACACACACACACACACACCTGAAATGCCTGCTTTGAGTTTTAAAGGATTATTCCCCAGATGTATGAAATTAGGCTTCACATTTGTTAACTACAAATGAACACACAGCATTAAAAAATAACCACAAGACTTAACAACAATCAGATGTTGTTCATGTGTAAACTACCTGCCTGACTCTATTTTGTATTCTACCATAGTCAAAAGTTGAGTTCAGGGACAAACAGGAAATGAAACTAGAGTAGACAGTGGTGACAGAGGGTTTGAGAGGTCCTGGTGGATTTGTGAAGTTACAGTTATTCAATATTTCATACATTTTTCAAAATGTTATTTAAGAATAATTTAGTCCAATAAAGAACAGATCCTTTTCACAGTGTGCATTTCTACGATCAGATAGGGTTGCAACACAATTTAAAAAATGGAAAAGAAAAATGTCCTTTTTTTAATGTATGCCTATTTGTCAGAATAGTTTCAAGTCTTTGCTTTGTTTCTTGTTATAAACTAGATATGTTAGATAGTTAACACATCTAGAAATAATTCAGATATAACAATATAACGATTGTGTCTGAACATGTCGCTTATACTATGTAGGGCTGCAAAGTCCAAAGTTAGTGAGGATGAACTTTGATTGTTCCATTCCTTGTGTTTTATTCTCTCATTTTACATTTTCTTTTTTAAGTCTATGTAGCACCAAATCAGAAATTGGTTTCTAAAATCACCATATATGTTAGAAAATAGAAAACATGTGAAAAGACTAAGAAGGAAAAGGTCATAGTACCGCTTCCTGCTTCATTGGTCATTCAAGGTTTCCTATGATGTGTTATTGCAGAGGTGTGTAACCACGTCTTTAACCAAGCCGTTTCTACTTATATCAAGAAAATAGTTACATTAATCTTTTTGGGAAATATAACATCGAGCTAATGAGGTGCTATGAGCAGTTATTAGTCAAATTGAAGCTGTTGACTGTAGACATCAACATTAAAATCTGTTTATTTGTCTTTAAAGTGATACAAAGAAACCCAGATTTAGCTGTGTTTGAGAAGTGTTTTGCTAAAACACAACTACACTGGCGTCTCCAAAATGTGTAAAGTGAGTCTGTCAGGTTGGCTTTCATAATCGCCATTAAAAGGGTTTCTATATCCTCACATGTTCTCTTAGATTTTCTTCATGTGTTTTGTATTTATTTTTATTTTTTTACTGATCCTCTTCCCGCCGCACTTACAAGCAAAAAGAGAATGCGCTCGCTGGTTTCTGCCTTTCAGGGCAGAGGTATGTAACCCCCTGTGAGATAACCAGGAATGTGGCAGGCAGGGGTGAAATGTGACAGGAGGGCTGCAGGTAACACACAGTGAGGAACAGGGGGCTGGGTCTGCTGCGGAGCTACAGAACTGAACAGACAGACGGAGAGAGGGAGAAGACTCTGAGTCAGGAGGGAGAGACAGTGGGTGTGAGACGAACGAGAGAGAGTCAGGAGAGGAAAGAAACATTTTGGGGAACAAAGAGACGCCCACGTGCATATCTGACACGGATATTCATAGGGAGAAGAAAAAAAAAAAAAACACACACACACACACACAGGAGGCAATTAAGCAGCGAAAAAGTCCGACCTCGTATTCACAGCTCAGACTCTGGGGCCGTCTCATTTCATCCCTCCAAACACATCCCCACACTGATCCTCTTAACTCCTAAATAACCAGCAGTGACAGAATCTTAACCCAAAAGGTCTACAGTGACAGAGTTAACATGGCCGTCGCCGACATCTGCCGAGGCCAAACTCTTGTTTATCTAAAGCGCCAGTCTGAGGCGACGACACACCCAGGACAAACACACGGCTCAATTTTTAGCCGTTCTCCCTATTAATAGGAGAAGTGCCAATAATAACCTTGCAGAGTAAGTTGAACTAAATAATAGTGGCTGCCCCAGTAACAGAGAGGGGCTGCGGTGTTATGTTTAACCTGTCAGGGTTATTCTGGGGCTGCAGACACGCTGACTTCAGCTCTGGAAATACACGCAGGGCTCTTGTCTGGTGAGTTAAAATAACCCAGTATTTAGACGAAAAGATAACACGTATTTTGAACTTTTGACTTGATCTTTTTTTTTAACGGCAAGAACATCCTCTCAGGAGATTTAATGTAAGACAAACCAGAAAATTTGTTTCGTGCAACCACTTATTTTTACTTCCATGTAATCATTTTAGCAGAGTTTTATTGTTACATTAATGGAACAAACCTTTTTCACTTTTCCACACAGGTTTGAGTTATAAAATGAAAAAGAAGAGGCAAATAACTTCTCTCAAAAGTTAATTTTGAACTGACAATTTCCAAAAAGAAAGAAGCTGAAAATTAAACTCCCTTTTTTTTTTTTTTTTTTTTCATTTAAATTGAAAATGTGAACGCTTCCAGGAAACACCGCTGACAATATTTTCATACAAAGAAAATCTAAAAATATATATATTTTAAATGTATCCAAAAATGTAAATTATTTCTTTAATTAGACAGCTAATAAACATTATATTAACAGCAGTAGGTAGTTAGTTAGTAAAGGTTTCAAGATCTTCACGCTGGAGGCTGCAGCATCAACATCTGGCCGCACACATCTGTTAAACACTCCCATAAAGCATCCACCTTGTTAAAGTGGCAGCATTAAGGGCAACGCATTAGCCAGATTATAAACTAGAGCTGTATACATCTTCAACTGGACTGAGGATTAGGTTACACTGAGCTGCCCGGCTCTGTGACTCATCAGGTTTGCACACATACAGCTGGATTAGGAATTATTATAAACTTCATTTACTGGGATTTAAAAAAAAACGCCCTTAACTTTATAAATCATATTAAATGAGCAGGTTTGAAATAAAAGTGAAAATGACCTCATATACATTTTCTGGTCACACTTGTGAACCATGATGTCATGATTTTATACTTGTGAACATGTTTAAAATGCTTAACAAAGTCTTTCATCCACAGAAGGCAGTTATTGTAAACCTCTTACAAAACAAATACTTAATCGACGACAGGATTCAGGATTCAATAAGAAACATGCACACCTAACATCACAGGGCCTTTAACCTCAGCGTCATCTCAAAGACTTTTATAAACAAAGAAAACTAATTTTATATTTCTGCCCAATTGAGAGACGAGTCAAAGGAACTGAAGAGCTCAGAATGAAAAGCAGCAGCTGCTCCTACATAAATAAAAGCAGGCAACAGGTAGGAGGGTTAAAAAGAGGATCTCTGACATAAATCTGTGATGAGTCACAGCTGAAGTAAAAATAGTTTACTACTGATGTGACTTCTACAATTAGAGGTGACATGTGGGAACATAGTACAATTAGTTCCTAAATCCCTTACCCCGCCTAAACGCTTTGATCAGCTATGCATACGTTAGAGAAAAATTAACAAAATGTTCTAAAAAAACAAAAAAACTGAATTTATTTACCAATATCCCAACATGTCAGGGTTATAACCCAGGAGGTTTTTCCAAACAGGCACATGAAACATAGATAAGAAAATAAAATGAATTGGACCTACAATTTTAAAGTCTAATGTTCCAAATAGAAATGTGCAAAAAATGTGTTAACAAATGTTCAGTAATCACACAAGTCACATTAGATACTTTAAATCTTCTGCAAGATGTTCACTGTTCACCATTAAAGGGAACCATTACCACGACCTAAAACCACCGCGTCCCCCAGCTGAAATACACGACTGAAGTCAAAGCAAATGTGTGTAAGGGATGATTCAGGGGGTTTCACTGCTTCTTTTCACATTTCACTATGCAGGCCGACTAAACCTGGAGCTTCAGCAGTCCAAGCTTAATCAAACACACTCACATCCAATGAG